GAATTTAATGTCCACTTGGATTACTGTGTTTTTCATTAGAGCAATGTTATTATATATAAACAAGAATTAAAACAAAATTAAAGATATAACAGTGAACAATTATTGTGGATTTTGTTAATTGCTGTTAATATGGGTTTGTACATAAAATTGTGTATTAACATTTTGCCTTTTAATATTTTTCTTAGTAACATTTTGCATTGGGTACATTTTGCACTGGAAACTTTTTGCCTTGGTAACATTTTGCATTGGAAACCTTTTGCCTTGGTAACATTTTGCATTGGAAACCTTTTGCCTTGGTAACATTTTGCCTTGGTAACATTTTGCATTGGAAACCTTTTGCCTTGGTAACATTTTGCCTTGGTAGCATTTTGCCTTGGTAACATTTTGCCTTGGTAACATCTTGCCTTGGTAACATTTTGCCTTGTTCAAGTTTGCTTCTTAACATTTTGCCTTGTTAAAAACGGTCAGTAAATCACTCCCATTCTGTTTAAGGACAATAAAACAGCTGTTTCCCGGCTGATTACACCCATTTACCTATCAACCTTTACATTTCTTTATCTATTCAAATATCTCTTCTACATTCATTTGGTTTATCTCTGTATTTACTTGACCTTCCTATAATCTCCCTTTATATCTCTGTCTATCTAACTATAATATACAGGGTGTCCTATAATCTCCCTTTATATCTCTGTCTATCTAACTATAATATACAGGGTGTCCCAAAAAACATGGAAATTGATTGAAGACTTGATCCTCGTAATACCTGATTTAACAAACATGAATGAATGAAGGGTGTTTAGAAATTTTGTTTTAAACACAAAAACTGTTACAAATCATTGATGAATGTTTATTGTTCAACATTATCGATTCAAATCAAAACATAAACAAAAAATAAACATTACAGCTTTTCCAGCCGGTATCACGATACTAAATCAAAACTCATTTACGAAGACAATCTCAAATGTGTCACTTGATTTTCATTCATATTGAGACACCCTGTAGTTTGTGTACTAATATATATCCTGAGATGTATCACTATCTAAACCTATGCAATGTGTTCTGTATAAACTAATTAGACCTGATGTTAATGCTGATAGGGTGTTATTCATGGATAGATAGATAATCAGATGCAAGGATAGAGGGACATATGAATAAATAAATAGATAGATAAATGGGGGTTATCAAATACCTACTCATACTGTGAATTGTGAACTAAATTTTACAATTTTCATGTATGTAGCAAATATGCCGATTTTGTTTTCTGGTCTCCCATCTCCTCTTATACCCCTCTTCTACAGCTTGGCTGGAAATTGTAACGTTCAAATGCAATCCGGAAGTTTTCAGATTAATTTCTACACATGGTTTCATTTCCAGGCTTCCCGTGTCCCCCCCCCTCCCCNTGTTTTGTTACAATGATCGACGGAGAAGTTTACACAAAGGAGATTAGAGATCAACTCAAAACTATGATAAGGTTCAAAACTTGATGTGCATATTCATGCAGTAGGACCCATACAACTCTAGAGTAAAAAAACGGCATTTAAGCAATCTTATCTGATGGTTTTATAAAGCATATCGGTTTACAAGTAACTTGAAAATAAACTTATTAAGTGAAATGGGTCCGTGTACACTGCACAATTGTTGTGTTCCATGTGCATTGGATCTATTATTTAAAATCGATTTCCTATTCTTGTAGTTTTATGATTCATTCTGTAGTTTAGAAACCTATTTTCTGATTGGCTCAACATTAAATTCATTTAATTCTTGACTCCAGATACATATTGAGATAGGTAGATAAGACTTGACTCCAGATACAAATTGAGATAGGTAGATAAGACTTGACTCCAGATACATATTTTTGTTTATCATAATGGTCTATATATACACTATATGTATAATGTATATACAATGTGGTTACACTAGTCATTGGATCACAGCTAATTAGCTTCCTTTCAACTCTTATTCAAGAAAGAACTGTCTCGCTATCTATATATCTATCTAGCTTACAAGATATCTATTTATCTAACTTACAATAATAAACTATCTATTTATAGATTTAGCTAATCAAAGAATTATAATGTAAAGATAGTCATTTCAGAGGTGTACGCATTTTTAGTACTGCAGGGTACTGTCTCTGGACTGTAAAGTAAACACAATAATGATGCCGCAGCCTGACATTCATATTTAGCATAAAAAATCAGTGAAATATTCTGATCAGAGTAAACTATTATGTGAATTATCTAAATTTTCATAATTTAATGCTTTTATCCTCCTCGGATACTAGAGTAACACTGATTATTGTCTTGTAATTAATAAGCTATCCTTTTCTCTAACTATCTCTTGTTTGTCTTTCTGGCTATTTTTCTAAAAAGCCTTCCAAATGATTATTTAGCTTTTTAGTTAAATAATCAATTTGTCTAGGATCTTTCTGGCCTTTAAGCTACCTAACTGTACATATTTCTAGCTTTTAAGTAACCTATCTGTACATGTTTCTAGCTTTTAAGCTACCTAACTGTACATATTTCTCGCTTTTAAGCTACCTAACTGTACATATTTCTAGCTTTTAAACTACCTAACTGTACATATTTCTAGCTTTTAAGCTACCTAACTGTAAATATTTCTAGCTTTTAAGCTACCTAACTGTACATATTTATAGCTTTTAAGCTACCTAACTGCATATTTCTAGCTTTTTAGCTACCTAGCTGTACGTATTTCTAGCTTTTTAGCTACCTAGCTGTACGTATTTCTAGCTTTTTAGCTACCTAGCTGTACATATTTCTAGCTAACGACGACTTTACTCTGTTATCCATGCAACTGGGCTACTCCGGATAAAACATTATAAAATTCGAAATTTAAGTGAGTGTGCAATTCACAGAGTAAGAAAGAGATAAGGGGGGTTTCTCCGGTGGAAAAGGGGCGGAGTTGTGTGCATAGATTTGTCGG